TACAAAATATTTAACCATTCGTTTATCACAATCTTCACCACCAAAATATCCATCACCAGTTGTTGATTTAACTTCGAATATTCCTTTTATAAGTGAAATCACTGATACATTGAATGTTCCACCACCCAAATCATAAATAAGAATATTTCTTTCATTAGATATTTCTTGTTTATCTAAACCATAAGCAATAGCAGCAGCTGTTGATTCATTGATAAGACGTAATACTTTAAGACCAGCAATAGTAGCAGCATCTCTTGTTGATTGACATTGAGAATCATTAAAAGAAGCTGGAACTGTAATGACAGCTGACGTGACTGTATGACCAAGATAAGATTCGGCAATATGTTTCATTTTAATTAATATCATAGACGAGATTTCTTCAGGTGTGAATTGTTTTATTTGATTTTTATATTTAACTTCAATCTTTGGCTTTTCATAATCATTAATAACTTTGAATGGCCAACGTTTCATATTTGATTGTACTATTGAATCAGAAAATTTTCGACCAATAAGTCGTTTAAAATGAAAAACTGTATTTTGCGGATTAATAGATAATCGATTTTTAGCTTCATCACCAATCAACCATTGACGATCAGTAAATGCAACATAAGATGGTGTTAATCTATTTCCTTGTTCATTCGGAATAATCTCAACTTTACCATTTCGAAATACACCAACACCTGAATATGATGTGCCTAAATCGATACCTATTGCTGATACTGGTTCATTACTTGTTGAACTTTCGAAGTCATTACTACTAGTTGAACTTTCAGAATCATTAATGCTGGTTGTATCTAAGTGACGAGTTTCTGTTACATGTAAATTGCTACCGTTTTTTGTCTTTCGATTTTGACTTTGTGTACAACCCATTAGAGATTATTCTGAGAAGCTTCTAAACAATATTTCGATGAGGCCTTTAATTTATGTGAAAATTAAAGACGCTTTCAAGAGTAGTAATAAATTCGAAATCTGAACTAATATAAAATAAAAAAAAAATAGACGCTTTCATATGCAAACTAAATAAAAGATAAAAGGATAAAAAGTTACTAAAAAAAAGGAACATCCGTCAACGAAAAAGAGATAAGAGAAAAGTACATTATGAAAGGAAAGATAAAGAGTGTGTGTGAATATGAGCTCTCTATTGAAAAATGATATCCTTATCTATTAAGTATATCAAAGTGTGCACGATCCGCAACAGTACTTATTCAAGAAGGGGAAGAATGTGAATGATGATATCTTCCCAGAGACGAAAGAATGATATGACTGATAACATTCTTTCAAATGTGAAGCAGAGAAAAAACGAAAGAGAAGCGAAAATAATATTATCGGTAACAGTAACAAGTTCTAAGTCTTTCCATCTAGTATTCTTTTCTTATATAATTTTTCAGTGGAATCGACCGATATTTTCGGCACTTCTACTAGAAGAAATATAGAAAAAGAATATTACTATAAAAAAGTTTTTTGTTTAATATCTAACAATGTCTTATGTTCGCGTAATACTACTTTTGATATTTGTATTCTAAAGTGGAAAAATCATACAAATATGCCTTACTTCTTCAAGAATTGATTTTAGTACGAAAAGATTACGTTTGGAAGTGTACATTTTCGATTGTTCATTTGTATTGTTGACCAGAAAACTGTAAAGGATGCTCTTTTCTATGGATATATATCATCTTATAGGATGTCAGAGGCAAATATTGAGTGGTATGGTTAAAAAAAAGACAAGGAATATCATACTCACAACTTTGCACTGATATGACTCTTTGAAGCGTGGTATTATTAAAACATTAATATTTCTTATAGAATCCTTCCCTATTAACATCAGTTATTTTTCTGCCTCTAAATTCAATTAGGAAAAATTTTGCTGATACTCTCGGAATTGATTTTTCTCTCTTATTTGTATTTATTAGGACACGACTCATATAAGAAAAAATAGATGAATTCTAATGAGAAAAGATAATTCTACGTAAAAAGTCTTTTTTTTGAAAGTAGCAACACCTTATGTAGACAATATAAGAGAATGAATATACAAGAATAAACCTGACAAAATGAGTGTATAAATCAAGAAATCTAGATTACATATGATATGAGAATGTATAATGAATCAATCGTAAGCTAAACCAAAAAAATAGAACCTATTAAATGAGATAGGAGGGATGTTTATTGAGATGTTAATTGAATTGAAACCAATATCGTTTGATAGCAGTACTGATGCTATGATTATCATGCATTAATGATCCGATTCAGTCATGAACACACATTACGAATGGACATGATGAGTGTTACTCTTACTTGTACTTTTTGCCTATGCTTGACAAAACATGATCTCAGGAAGGTGCAGGCGTGAGGGTTTAGATGACTTCCAAGACTACATCCACACTCATACCCACACGCTCACCCACACCCTCAAGATAGCTATAATTCTAGTTCTTTCGTGTGATCTATTCTTGAGATATGCATATGCACAAAAATTATAATATCACAATGTATTTTAGTCACTGGTGTTATTCGTCAACACATTAACAACAATATAAGCACCAGTGCTTAATTTATATTCTGTTGACACTTCAATCTAAGATATAATCCTATCAGAAATTTCAAGTCAAATGAGTGTATTCTACCTCGTTAAAATGAATTTATCTTGCAAATGATACAATACTTTTTCAAGCGACTTGTGTAAATCTCTTGCGATACTGTTTTTCTATAACATATATCACAAAATAAACATGTTTTAAAAACTTGAATTTGAGTAACTTCCATAGTGATTTGTACGAACTGATTGCTATGATTAAAATAGCAAATTATTGATTATTCTCAACAAATTTTGTTCATTTAGCCAATAGAATCATAGAGATGCAGTATTGTATTTTTCTCTTCAATATTCACATATTCATTTTGCGTTGCTTTATAATCATTTAAGCGTGACGAAATGTGCATTAGAATAAAAACGAACAGAATAGTCCCATTCGCTTATTTATTTTGAAAAGATATTTTGCGAGAAAGGCACTTTTTCTATAAGGTATAGTGTGTATATAGACTACACTCCACATTTATTATAATATTATTATCATTTAAATAGTCCTAGAACGTTTTTCTCTTGATATATATACATCAGCGAATTACAACTACGAAACAATATCTAACAAAATGTTAAACAGCAGACGATTGTTTAGTTTGATTGTTATATTTGGAACATTCATGGCAACTTACATGGCATGGAAAAATGATCGTAATAGTTATAATCGTGATCTGTTTCATCAAAAACGTCGTCACAACAGTAGAATGTCAGCGGATGTATTTAGTAAGCAGAGTACAGTGTTTAATAGAAACAGAAATGACGTTCAATTAACCAAAAGTGACAATAGTATATTAGACAATCATAAACGAAGCTTTTCGTCTAATGCACGGATATGGCCTCGAGGTGTTGTCCCTTACGAGGTAGATCCTCAACTACCGGCTGAAAGACAAAATACTATTCGTGATGCAATGCAAAATATGACTGCAAAAACAGATAATTGTATTACTTTTGTTTTACGTGATAGTAGTCATACAAATTGGATACATTTTCAAGATGGCGGCAAGTAAGTTTTTCACGATATTCATGTCTAAAACTCATAGTAAGTAAATCATTGAACTATATATATATATGTGTGTGTAAACAGGTGTAACTCTGTCGTCGGAATGTCGTCAACTGGCGGGCAGATTCTTAATATTGATCGATGCAGCGTTAGAGACATACTACACGAACTTATGCACGCTCTCGGTTTTCAGCATGAACATCAACGTTCGGACAGAGATAAGTATATTCACATCATGTATGATAACATGGAACCAAGTATGAGTATATTTTCTATTTCTCTATAAATATAAATCAATGCATTTTTCTAGCTGCTATGGGTAATTATGAGCTGACCAGCACTATCAATCTTGAACCGTACGATTTTAGTAAGGAAAACATATAGCAAAATTCAGAAATACACTTATTATGTCTTCATTTTTCTCCACTTTTCTTAGGTTCACTTATGCATTATGGTTACGGTGGTTATTCTCTTAACGGACTACCAACCATGATACCGACGAAAGCCTACGCAGCTGACTGGCGATTCAATATAAATAATTCAACGGATTTAAACTCCAATGATATCAAGAAGATAAAGAGATTTTATGGGTGCTAATCATAGACAGACTTATTTGCGTTTTGTTCAATGTAGAATTAACATTAAATCTTTCATTCAATACTAGAATATCTTCTACTAATCTTCTAATATCTGTGAATACATAAGAAATACACACCATTTTAATTCATTTCATATGTGTATTATTTATTTTTCTTCTTCTTCTTCTTCTTCTTCTTATATGTTTTTTATTGAACTACAGAGACGAAGTTCATCTAAGTCTTCCTCCCCTTCTTCTCCTTATCATGCTATAAATTTCTTCTCTTTCATTAATAAAGCAATCTACTACTACTACTACTACATACCATTTTAGTTGTTAACAGATGGTTGACTAGATAATCGATCAAAAGAGCCATCATTTCCACAATATTGATCTCGATGTATGTATTGAGTTGAAACGAATGAGCATTAGTCAAAGTTTCGAAATCAACAATTGCAGTCTATGTGTTAGCATGTTCTTAAAAAGTTAGAAAGTAATCTCTAGTTGAGCTCGCATCAGATTCCTTTAAGATGGATTTTGTTATTTTCAATGATCAAGTTGAAGAATATACGATTTCTCTTCCATCTGAACAAAGCATACGTTGAAGTTACCTCATGAATAAACAGTTTTTCTCCTATCAATATGTTAAAATGTCATTGTTTTTCCGAAATGTATAAAAATAGTAGTTAATAGGAGTGTAGCATAATAATCAAGATATTTGTGTATGTTGGATACAAATCACTCTGAAAATGCGCAATGAAATACTGTGCAAAAACGCTGAGAAAACAAATTCCTATTAATTTGCTCTCACAATGTTTTTAATCATTCAAAAAAAGAACTCTGCGTTTGATCATACTGTTTTTTGTCTTATTAAATATAATAGATATTTTACTAGAGATCTTTATTTCATATAAGCTGAAGAGCTGAATGTTACCAGACAAAAACAATATTTGCTATCTAACACATTGGGAAATGGCAGTCTTATCGTTTCCGATAAGTTTCCATTATCGACTGTACAATTCTTTGCCTTTGCAACCTGCTTTGACTTTCAGCATTTTTATAAATGTTGTTTCTGTAATGTAACAGTACATGTTTTTCTGCATAGTATAGCTCTTGTTTTCATCTTGAGGGTGTGGTATTAGTTCTATTGCAACTACATTAAACTATGTATATTCTTTAATAGAACTGTAGTTTAACAAAATATCTGTGGATATTTGTTTTGCAACTTGTTCCGAAAAGATGCCTTGAAAAAGCCTTTGAAATATTTCTATGTCTGAGCATTAGTTTGAAACTTTAGAAACGTTTCTTGATAAAACACATTTCCATCGTTTTGTAACATATTCGTTAAAAGCTTGACCAATAGAATACTACTGATCAAGAAAGTATGCTAAAATCTCATGTGTTCAATAGCAAGTATCACAAGTTTCAAGCTAGTGTTGTTATCGAGTTATTATAAGCAGGTCTGAAACAACATCGGTGCACTGTCATCGTTGCTTCCTTGAACTTTTTCAACCAAACACTTGCTTTGGCGCTTCACAAATGAGTTCACTAAACTTCTGAACAACAAAAGTTGTAAACCGCAATATAGTTCCAGACCTAGCGGTAGATCAGAAAGATAATTGCTAGAAGAGGATGTATAAAAATAAGAAAAACTTTTTCCGGCTATTTTAGAAGCTAAAGAAACGTCTTACCGCTCGAGTTGATAGGGAATTTGATTCTGTCGCAAATTTAAACTAAACTGACAATCTGTATAAAATTTAACGCAGATATTAGAGATAATAGAAGTACAAACATCTTATTTATTTAACGAAATAGTGGGATAACAATATTGTGAGTATTCCAATAGTGACATGTATAATTAAGCTGGAGACCTACCGTGTACACATTTTTCGAACCCATCGTTCGATCCCGACGCCAGACTCCTAACGTTAATAATGGTGAATATTACATGAAAATTTTCTGTTTCGATAACAGATTCAGAGTACTGATGAATCATGAGTTAACTATATGTTTTCAAGAAAAAACGTGCTCCAGACTTTTGAAAATCCCATGTTGAAATGATTAATCAGAAAAACTATCGAAAAATGCTAAACCACTATTCCACGAATCCGCTGTACTATTATTTTGTTAAATAGTTATATAGATAATATACACTCAGTCTTTTTTCGACAAATTCACTATCATCCCATGAACTCTTTCCTAAACACTTCAAATATGTTGTCTTATTTATTCGATGCAAAAATGATAAGTAAGTATCAGAAGAAAATATAAAAAGAGTAAAAGCTATTGTTCATGTCACAACAAGAAACGTTTTAAAATTGTTAAACTAAAGTAACTAAGGCTGTATTAGTGCATGTAGGGACAGAGAATGGAAATAGAGAAAATAAATAGATTAATGAATAAAATAAAACAAAATTCATGTCTTAAACGTCCACCGATTTCATATTGCATATATAAGTCGTATGTTGATATTAGTGTAATGGACAATTCTTCTTAATTATTCCTTGTATTCCTTCGACTTTCAAGCTAGCAAGTAAACAACTTCTGCATGTTTGATAGCCATGACATTTGGGATTTTGTTGATAGTCAGTAACACAAGTAGGCAATAAGTTCTGACACACTTTCAAAATAGCATTGTTGTCAAGATTTTCTTGATTTTCAACTAAAATAAATACGCCATAATAGTTTCTTAAGAAGAACTAATTTCATTCATGTTATTGTATAGTTTGTTTAAAAACATAACTACGCGTCTTAATTCAGCTAAGATTAAATAATCGGTTAAAATATTTTCATTAATACGAGCAACAGAATCGATGGTAAATATCTCAGACGAGTCCATAATTCATGGGAAAGGATCATTACCTTATAGAAATCGCTTTTGGGTTCATATTTTGTGTATACGTACGGCTCAACGAGACTAGAAAAAAACCAGAAAAGAAGAAATTACTGATAACATTTCTTTTCTGAATTACAGTTGTTTTTACTGAAACTACAAACTATGCCTACATATGTATATATACAAAAATCAAATGACAGTATTTTAAACCTGACTTTTCATTACTAACTCGAAAAAATCCAGTTAGACCGAACAGTTTTATGAACTTTAGGTGACATTAGACTTACCTATGAGTGAGACTCCAAATCTAAATACTGTCATTCGATCTTTGTATATATCTCTAAGCATAGGATAAAATTTCTGTAGAACGATTACAATTCGAAAAGGAAGTATTATCAGTATCCATTCTTTTAAGCTTTGTCTATTTTCATCAACGTCTATTTATGCACAAAGTAGTAGCTTCAAAGTGATTTACAAGTTAGTGACTATTTAATCTTGTCAATAAATATATTGATTCACTTATTTTTATAATGTACGTATGCATCAAAACCAAAACTCTTCATTTTTCAGTGTTAGTTTCGATCTAGAAACGACAACTTTGGTATTTTGTGTTAGATATTATTGATAAATAAATAACTTACAATAAATCTACAATACTTTTCTACATTTGCTAAGATGAAATAGGCTTCTAATACAATATTAGCTATATGCTTGTAAGATTTAATCAATCTCAATTATTTGCAGTTGACGAGTATATGCTGTCGATTTTGAATCAAAAGAAGGAAACAATCTACTTAGAATCAGATCAATTTAAAAATCGATATAGTACACAATCACGACTTTGATTAATATTCCGTCTCAAACCATCAACATTCATATACAGTTCAACACTATGGAGTTGCTCATGTGGTCAAGGAAATTATCCCTATATTACTTATGATACACAAAACACACTGACTTATGTGTACTTTTCATAAGAGAAGAGATTATGAGAATCATCAATAATATCTCAAAACTAGTTTTGGCTTTGGTGGATGTTTCGTACAGTGCATTTAATTGCTCGTATTGTTAATGACTATCACATAATATTTCCACTTTTATTTACTATAGAAATTTTTCGATAGATCTACGGAACTTCAAACATATTGTGTTAGTCCAAATCCAAATACTCACCTTTGATTCATTCTACTTTATTTATATTAGATCGAAATCATTATTGGATTTACTTACCCCTTTTTTGAACTAAGCGTTTGATTAATGTCTCATAATCACGAAATAACTGACGCCGAGCATATGAACGTAGATTGTTGTTGTTGTTCATTGTTACTTCACTATTGTCTTCCATATTCCTGAAATAACATTGTGTAATTGATATTAAACCAAAGTAGAATAAGACAGTGTATGTCCAAATAGTACAATTCATTTTATCTAATTAGAACAAAGAAAATAATAAAATATTTCTGAATTATAGAATTCATATTTTCTGCATTAGTCGCAAAGCGCTGTAAATCTAGTCACGTCTTTTGTGGATTACAGTGGATTCTAAGCAATTATACAGTTTCAAGTAAAATTTCAGTCAGTCTGGAATCAATTGTTGATTTATTTGTATTTGTTAGGTTTTATACGATTCACTTTTCTTCTCCGTAAGAACAGTTCGTCTCTGACATGTTTCGAGTGAATGATCGAGCACTATAGGGCATTCTCTTTGGAAGAGCCCTTTTTTGCAGGGAAGCTATCCTTTTTAAATTATGCCTTAGAATTGCACTTATCGAATGCGCCAACTAAAACAGTTTGGAGAAAGTTTTTAGACTTTTCAATGATGTGTCTGCGTGCTGTAGAAACTATCAAACGATAGAAGCATATTTCATATGGTATATTTAGTATGCCTTTTTAAAAACTATGAATTTGCCCTGCAAACTGGTCTAGTTTTGGCTTTTTGATGAGTACAGTTTTAGTCAAAATATCAGAATCATGGCTTTGCTATAAAAGTGGACTTTGGCTATAGAGATTTCGTGCAGAGATTGATATCTCATCAGAAATAGATCACAGATCTGAACTGTTTTTTATGGTATAGATAATCATTTAGTGAAGTTTACAAGAGACACTAACTCTTGATTGACAAAAGATTTTGACAATGACGAATGTTTCTTTACACTTACGTCTTTCAAAAACTAGTGTAAATAATCACCATGTTTCTTAAATAGATCCAACTATTCTATATTATACAATTACAATATTTTATGCTTAGACAAGGCAAATCTTGCTCTATATTTTAGTTTTATTCGTTGAATATAACTCAAAAGTTTTTTGTCGATTCGAGCTTACTAAGAGCGAGACAATTCATTCTCATCTAAAAACGTAGAGAGCTAATTTTATTTTCATAGCTTGAATTCTGTCTCATTATTCTTATGCCTTTTTTACTTACCTTAATGAAGAAGAAAGAATACTAACGCAAAACACGAAATTGTCTTTTATCGCTATTTGACGATTACAGTTACGCTTGATTTATTCGCATAGATATATACGTATAAATATCAGCGTTTCTTACCTTGGATTTTTACATTTTGCTTGTATCATCAAAAACAACACGTTTATTATTCTTCTTCTTCTATTCGAATTCAGCATTCTACTTGTTAAATAATTTCACGCGACTTGTATTTCCATTTCATATACACGTCTCAAGATGTTAAGGTAAGTTATGATACTTTTTGTCTATTCATATTCATTTGAGACTTAGAAGAAACTAATGGAATGCTCTTATTGTTTCATATTAGAATAGAATCTGGATATAGTCATGAATGAAATTTGAGATTTTATTTGACACTGTTATATATTTAAATGATAGGAGTTTCTTGAATAATATTAAGTTTTCCTTCAAATCTTTTGTGTTACAAGAATAGGCTGAGTAAGCTTAAGTTATACTTTTGGACTCAGAAATTGTCTGACTTTGACTAGCTCCTATGATTAAAGTTTATTTAATAATAAAAAAATGTGTTTTGCAAATATAAACAAGTCTCATATTACACGATTAAATTATTTTTTTCTTCGTTCGTAGTTATATTTTAATGAAATAAATTGTAGGAAAACAAGTTTGTAATCAGTTTTTTTCTATTCATCTATTCATATAACTGTGAACGAAAACCTATTCGTATGGCTGAATATATATACATGTATATACGAACGCTTTATCTTTTATTTTAACTGGCTTCTGATTTGTATTGACTTACATAGAAGAAAGTGCAGATATTCTTCATAAACGTTGTTGTTCCTATTAAATAATAACTGAAACCAATATATTCATTAGAAAAAGAGATGAGTTAGTTTTGATGTTCATATCTTGTTGCTTAAAGGTCCGCGAGAAGACCTACCAAACTTGTGGAAAGTCAGCATCTGAAAGATTTTTGATTTAGATATCTAAAATAATAGTCCGCCATTAGAGGGTCGTAAATCCAAAATATGAACTCTTTCTGACTTTTCTGTGAAAAATGCTAGAACATATAAGTGACACAAGTCTCAGTCCTTAGTAAGGAAAAATAATGTTTTCTTAGAGTGCTTCTTATACTTTTCATTTTTCTCTGCAATAGCCTGTCCGTTAAAGATGAGGATGGTCTCAAAAAAGCTGTGAAAATATTTTCTCTACAAAATGAATTTATTTTTAAAATTTTTTAGTATTTTGTTTATAAATCATACTTTGCCTAGTCATTCAAAAATAAATTTTATGTTTTCTGAAATCCCTTGAAATTCTGCATCTTTTCATCCATAACTCAAATAGTTAAAACATTGGTAACACAAGTTAGTTTACATCCACAAATATTAGCAGATGATGATAATATCCATTAAGTCAACCCCTACTGAGCCTTCTCTATATCTTATGTTTGCTCAAACAGAAAAATTCATTGCAGATTCATAATCAGTATGAAAAACTAAGTATAACAATCAAGGGGGAATCACATAGAATCATCAGAATCTAAGAGAAAAATAGCTAATTTCGAGTAAACAAATTTCCAATAGAAAAATCAATAGATTGTAGACAGTAGAATCATTTGAAATCAGTTGAGTTGTGAAATCAGCTGTTTCTCCCTTGGATTATGTTCTTTTTGACTGGTTTGCCGAAAATCTCATCCAGAAATAGAACTGTTGTCATTTACTATATCAGTAGTTATCTGTACACATGTTTTTATATGACATCTGTATTAAATTCTTGCATAAAGTTGATTATATTTGAAATATCACTTTTGAGCGATGATATCGGCACAGAAAAAGCAACTCATGAATATTTTTAGAGCGATCGGGCAGATTCGCGGGTAAGTTGGATTCGAATGTACTAACATCAGTCTTAAATATACGTACAAGTCGATTCCATCTTTCATCCATCGAATACAGTCATATGAGAAAAGGAAAATGAGTGTTTATATATATAATTGATTATAGTCAATTGTTAGATTAGTTATAACAAAACAAACCAATGAAAACATTAATTAAATATAAAACTATTCTATTTCTCTGTTTTTATTTTCGTTGAATTTAGGAAAAAATGTTTTCGACAAACAAGTTTTGTGTTGAATATTTTTGTCTTGTTAATGATAACATCAAAGTATACTGTTATAGCATCTCATTGGGATGATATTTCTGATGAAATTGATGAAGAACGAGTTAGTCAAAGTTATAAACGTTTGACTAATATTCTGGACTCATTCTTAAATGATGATGCTAATGAAAATCTATCAATCAAAAAAAGTAAGTGATCATTTTTGTTTTAATTTGATACAATACTTTTAGTCAATCAAAATCATCAATAGTGCTACTATTATCCATAAATAAATGAAATAGATAGATAAAAAGTTTTTATTCTGAATTCTTTGACATAACATGACTATTAATGATCATACGATGTTTTGATATTATTCATTAAATAGTTTTACTAGTCGGTGATATTGACTTGTTCTATCATTTAGAATAATCTAACTAAATTTGTTTTAATATTGTTTTGATTATTGATCTATAGGAGAAGATATTAAAGCTGCAAAATGTACAGAATTCCTTCAAGATCGAAATCTTCAAGGTCCGAATATATTAAGCCTACCTGATATTTCAACTGTTGAAAACTGCATAGCTCTCTGTGAGCAAACAAAATTATGTGTAGCATGGTCTTATTATGTACCAGGCAAAAGCTGTGGGCTTCGATCTGGAATATGGAATAATGTATCTGCTGTTTCTTATCAGACTGGATCATGTTTTGGTAAGTTAAATGAAAAAATATTTTGGCATTATATTTGTGTATATTTTTTTTACTTAACTTCAATGTAAGTTGAGCGAAATAGAACTTATAAGAGAGCAGACTGCGGTATCAGTTGAAAAATATGACCATGCTATAGATAAGAGTTCATCCCACACAAAAAGTATCGAGCCTTTTACCAGCTTACTTGAAATTAGAGAACAAAACATACTTGTCCGAGCGTCCCAAATTTCTCTGCAGTTTCAAACTTTACAAAACCCTGTTTGATTTGAAAATATAGTCGAGATTTCGGACTACAACTGAATACAGTCTGATTTTAGAAGTATTCTATTGTCTGTTTCTATCAAAAGATTCTCTGATTGGTGGCAAACTTGAAGCAGAACCGACCAAGGTCATCTAGTTTATTTTCGAGATCAGTTTAAACTAATATAAATCAGTCTGATCGGTTTTTACGATGTTTTAGAGCTCAATAGATACATTGGTGTATTTTAGTCGTTTTTATCAATTTTCATGAGTTTGAAAATCAACATATGTACAACTAAATATTGTCAAGTGATAAATTTATAGTTTTCACTAAACTTCCCACTCCGAACTTTGACCTCTTGCTTTCTCATGGCATGTGTGTACCTCAACCCACTAGTTCCACGTTCAGCGGGATAGGACAAAAGTCTAATACACGTTCCAGATCAGTTCATCGTCAGCAGCCATTAAGTGTGAAATCACGAAATTCAAATTTGTTAAGTTGTAGAGTTAGAACACAGCTTAAGGAGGAAACGACATATTTCAAGACTGTAGCATTTGAAATGGTTGAGAAATTTGTGGCGTATAAAAGCATCAGAATTAGAATTCTGTTTTATGAATAGTCGTGTCACATATCCATGATTTTAGAGATAGTCCTGCAACTATAGTTATAACAGACTGCATCTTCAAAAATATAGATATGTGATAAAATTACTGAGAGCGCTGAGTTTCGCATAGTTTTGGTGCCTTATGAACTTGGCTTCGGTGTTTTTCATAGTTTTTGAAATAAATCAATTCAGGTTGCGCCTTTATCTTTGCATAATACTTAAGGAAGTGAATAGATTATTATGTTACCAGTATTTATTAATTCAGTATCATCTGAGAAGTGCCTCCGTAAGCTAAAACCCAAATTCCAAGCATAAATCATAACTTTTCGAAATCTGACGATTACTCACAAGGAAAGGCCCTAGGTGTGTTCAGGGGATTCCTAATATTATCATGCCAACTTACTACACCTAGTCCCCATGAAATGCAGCCTCAGCCGATAATTCTTCCATAGTTGAGATCAGGGGCCTAGGTGTAGTAAGTTGGCATGATAATATTAGGAATCCCCGGAACACGCCTAGGGACCTACCCTTGTCAGAAAAAACAATTTCTAAGGTCTCTAAAATCCAAAGATTTTGATTTTGATACATAAGTAACCATAGTATACTACGTTCTCCTCCTCACTTATATTCATTCTCACACCATCTAATGAGATAATTAATCGTTACGATAATTTGTTCTATGGTATTGTACCCCAGGACTTTGTCATTCGCAGTAGCTTGAAAACACTGGTGTTCTGACTGAAGTATCGCTATTTATTGCTGTAAGATAAAATTATTTCTTGATCACAATGATCAGCGAAGTGAGCTATATAGAGCAAGGAAGATCACGAAAGTTGATGTTTGCAATATCTAAACATATATGGAAGTGTCCAGATATGCACCTAGAAATGGAAACCTTTTTCTATTTTATAGCTAATTTTCATATGATCAAAGGCTAATAATACTTCTAAATACCATTTTTCGTGAGCCTCTAGTTAGTGTAAAATTCAATGTTCATATCATTTGTTGCTGAAGCTGTATGTCCGGACACCTCTGTATAGAAGCTTGTTTTTGTAAGATGATTTTAAAGTACCGAAGGATGTTGAAAAACATCGATTTTATCATGAGAATACGAAAAAATTTGCTTTTTAAAACTCATAAACGTTCTGTACACGATAAATAATGCTCTTCTTATATATCTTTGCTTGTTGGGTTTTTTTCACCAAATGTCAAGGTTCTCATATAATTCACGCATATACTTTATTATACTACTCTGTACTTCCGTACTTGAGAATCAAAACGCCGAACTTTGTCTTCCCTTCTTTGATTTATTTTTAAATATTTCTCTATTACTTTACAGAGCCAAAGCAGAAGGTAAAATGTAATGAAGTATTATATAGTGGATACTATGACAGTGTAGTCGAAGCAGTATCTAAAACTGCTAATAGTCCACGTTGTTTGAAAGCATGCGATCAAAGCCAAACATGTGTTAGTTGGTATTATGATATGAGACGCAGGGAATGTACAACGCTGTCTTCAGTTGGTTCATGGTCAAACGCTACAAATTATCAAAGTGGTTCATGTTTGGGTAAGTTAATTATAGAATTGATGTCTCTAAAGTGAGTGTGAGCATGAGACATGTGCATTTCTAAAGTAGATGGTGTATCATCAATAAAAATAACTGCATATCTAAAATCAGAAACATGTGATACTACTCAACAAAAGTTCCGAAGAAGGCGATTCATCGTAAGAGATCGAGTTTCTATACAATTTTCCGTATAAAAATTATGATTTATAGCAAAAATATTTTATCGTGTGTCAATCTACAACTTTGTCCACATCATCAGGGATAGGTTTAAAATAAATCGTATAGAAAGTTCCAAAGTCTTTAGTAGTATTCACTAAGAAATTCGAATTTTTCGAAATATTCATATTTTTTCAGCGCATTTTGCGAAACAACATTATTTTAAGCTGAAAAGGATCTTATTTGTAGCGTTTACAACAGAAGACTACAGAGCTGAGCAAAGTACTCGAAGTACTCGTACTCGAGTACCATTTTGCTCGTACTCGTACTCGGGGGGTCGGTACTCATACTCGTACTCGAGAAAGTCCATACTCGCCCAGCTCTGGAAGACTATGAAACTTGGTATAGTGTAACTTATACGTAGCAAGAAAGAAATACAGAATTCGATGAAAGCTAACTAGATTTGAGACAATTCAAAATCATGTACACATTTCCCAAAACAAATCAAAAGTATTATGTATTTTAAGAAAGAATTACAGAGAATCTTAAAGAATTCTTGAAATTCAATACGCTTCCTTCTAATATAAAGTTCTGATAAGAACAAAGTCTTAAATTAATACTTGATAAAATACTTTTGCTGCAATATATTGATTGTTATACAAAAAAATATCTAGAAACTCGATCTCTCATGAATGAAGACACGAAAAATGGATTCCTTCTGAACTTTTTTTTGTTTTATTTGAAATCTACTTTCGGTCAAAATGTAACATTTTAATCGCTTAAATATTTTTTGAAAGTTTTCTTGTTAGTTTAACAAATAAAATTACGGATGCAAAAATATACACTTTTGATCAATAAGTTATGTTATGTTATTATTTTATCTACAACAGTGCAAGTAACATTGCAAATCTATTTTGTTGTTGTTTAGGTTTTAAAACATTGAAATGTCAAGAAAAGTTATCAGGCGCAAGTTATTATGGTACTTATAAACGAGAAGATTATGTTAATACAATGAATGATTGTATTAATATGTGTGAAAATGATAAAATATGTATAGGATGGTCGTATGCGATATCGGATAAGGTGTGTTATGCTTATACTAATATAACATATCAATTACCGGATACAAAATATGTTGGTGGACACTGTTATAGTAAGTATACTTAATGTGTTATTTCATATAGAGTCTAATAGAATAAATAGAATCACTGAATCTCTTACATTTTATCACTGATAATTATTTTGATCATGTTGATTCATTGTTTAGTGGCAGCAAAAAATAAATAGATAGAATCAGTTTTTAAATTGATATAAGCATTACTTTGCGTTAAAACTTTAAAACAGTGATTAGCGAGAGAAATATTTTTCAGTAGCACCTAAGTAACCGACTATCTCGTCCCACTTTGTCTCATCTGCTGTAAAAATTCTTAATACTATTTTATTAAAGTATTATTCTTTGTGAAAGGACTTCGTCATGCATTTTTTTCGTTAATCAGTTGACATCGGAACATCATTTGTCTTATTTGAGGAGTACAAATACCTAAAAACTAGCAGTTCATGCAAGATCATTGTTTCATACTATTGATCTAACAAGCAAAGTGCACTAGTGTATATCAATAAATCATAGATAAACGACTAGTCGAGAAAGTAATTGCATATATGTGTTATTTTATTCTATGATAAAAATAGTATAGAAAGCGAAAGGAACGAAGATTTTTTTTCTATTTTGATGAAATTGAGTAGAAACATCGATTAAGTTCTGTGAAGAGACGAATGTAACAATACATCATAAAATATCTGAAGAAAGAATGCAGAGAGCATTAAAGTTGAATATAGAATTCGTCTTATCTTATATTTATTCTCTCAAAGATATCATTGAAGTATTAATGAATTTCAATGGTGGAAAAATTCTACAATTTGAATATTTACAACGATACTTTTTATACTTAATGTACAACTTATTTTTTCCATATCTTACCAAATCAAAAATCATCACAAATTGACAAATAATATGAAAGTAAATAACGAGAAAATCTAATGTAAAGTAATAAGATTTGAATGAATATTTTCTAAATGAAAATATATAGAATCACTTATGATAATTAACGTCATATTTATTTATATAAATATTTTATAAGTTAAAAAAATAATTTTCTTTTTCATCTTTCTTCGTCATATTTTAAAATATGTAATTTTTTCAATCATTTTCTCATTGTCAAGAAAAGATAAATGAATATTATAGTTGATTATATCTACTTCGATATTATTTTTTGAAAGATAATATGATGAATTGAAATATTTCAACCATTCTCTTTTATTTTTCTAAAAAACAATCATCTTATTAGTAGAGCTTTGAAAATGTGTTGAATAGATTGATAAAATTCGAAAGATATATCTATGAAATAAATCATAATATGTTTCTAATCATTTTTTTAATTTATATTTCTAAAGGACCTGATTTGAAAGCACAAGAATGTGAGTCAAAACGTGGAAAACCTAATGGTGATGCTCGTGTATTGTTAGGAATTTGTGAAACAGATCAAGATTGTAAGATGATATGTGAACAAGATATGTCATGTTGGGGATGGTCATTTTCAATTTCATTAAGAAAATGTTGGCAATATTCAAAAGTTGTTGGGTTTTCGTTGAGTGATGATTATATAGGTGGATCATGTTTTAGTAAGTGATTAAGAATCATTTTTTTATTCGTTTCTTTTGACATAAATGAAATCGTTTATTATCATCAGAAAAATAAAATAAAATTGAAGAATTTTGTTTTTAGAATTATATTGATTATAAAATATTGTATATTTTAATTTAGTGAATACATCATATCCAGATATACTTTCTTTGAATATGTTCAGACAACAAGCATTAGATAAACATAATGAATATCGTAGAAGACATTGTTCACAATTATTGACATTAAGTGATAATCTAAATGAAATTTCTCAAGATTATGCAGACAGATTAGCTACATTTGGCGAAACACCACCAAATTATAGTGGAATTAGAATGGAAAATTTATATTATCAAACACTTAATTATAAATTACAAGGTAAATAACAATTGAAATATTTCTTTTTTCACTTAAATAGAATAGATTTATATTAATTTAAAGGTTCAGCTCCAGTCGACCAATGGTATAATGAAAAAAATAACTATAACTGGGAATATCCTGATTTTTCTAAATCAAAAAATTTTGCTAAACTTATTTGGAATAATGTGACACAATTAGGAATTGGTAGAGCATTTTCCAATGATAATACAACAATGTTTGTAGTTGCAACTTATTATCCTGGTGGATATCTTGAAGAATCATACAAACAAAATATCAAAAGAGAGTGTTAACAAATTAATATTCAAATATATTTAACAAAAATCAATTACAAAATTTTAAAACTATGTTTTATATATAAAAACACATATTTATACTATTTTTTAATACTAATTAGATTTAATATTTTTTTTAGCTAGTGCTGTAGACAGAGAAGAAGACAATTATACATATTTTATTCCGAGATTTACCCATCAAAATCTGATTCTTTCACAATTTTTTTGTATTATTTATTAACTAAATTTTCTTAAAATTATTAATCTTTACTGAGATAGAAAAATAACTTTTGTTCTACAGTTTTTTTTGTACATCATCAAAGTATGTCCATTAATCTAAAAATCTTCTCTATACTATTATTTTCAACTAACATAATCATTTAGATTTTATTACAATTTACAATTTTTTAACTAATCATTTTCAATTTATTTTTATTAATATTTCTTTTTTTTTTCATTTAAATATATATGCAGTTTATTCTTAAAATATAACATAATTATTTTCAAATATATGTTATTTTCCATATTTATTTATTAGAAAAACTTCCATATTGTCTCACTTGTGTTTTTAATGTACAAAACATGATGAAAGTATAGAACGAAAAATATATCGTTACATTTGCTTATCTATTTTATCATGGTCGTTATCTACCTGTATGTTATTTCATCTGTCATTTATATAAATATATAAAGAACAATAAAAGATCAATCATTTATATAACCATTTGTTTTTACTCTAACAAACAAAAAAGAAAAATCGAATATCGATAAATAATGTTTTTTATATAAAAATATGTCTATAAATGTGCATATTATTCGACTAAAACCATTAATCTTTATTGAGACTCTATACATGAAATAGATATTGAAAATATTTTCTTTTTTTTTCTTTTCATGATTGGCTCTCTTAATAATAGTTTATATAAATAAATACCGATAACTATTCATTTGTCAGTATAACGATAAAAAAGAAAAGAATCTATCTAAGATAAAATATTATTCTTATAAACAAAACAATTCTTATTGATCCATTTAATCAAATATTGTAAGTATTAAAGAATTTCTCCAACAAAATATTTAATTCTTTTGCTCAGAAAAAAAAACAAATTTTTATCTTTTTACATGTTTCGTTTTTCTCATAAAAGTTTAAAGAATTGAATTAATAGAAATATTCAAACATAAATTTTATTTGAGTTTTGATATTTAAATAACTTTCGACTAATTTGAGACTATTTAAAAAAGGAAGAGAAATAAAATTACTTAACAATCATAATTTATCACAAAGTAATCAGATCTAGTTGAACTTTAAGAAATGAAATAATATTTATTTGCTGAAATCTATAGAATATTTGAAAATCTTATAAAAGTAAATAATACGATAGAATGACAACTTCTTTCTTACGAATAATAATAAGATGTCTTCTTCAATAAAATAAATGGTTACATTGAAATTTTTCACTCGTTAACATATGTACATTTTGTAAGTATTAGTCAGATGTACTTATAATAAAAAACGTTTGTATAAATATCTATTTTTGAGATGATCAGATATTTTTATGTAGTTATTATAATTATTAAAAATATTCTTTCAAAAGAAATCCATTCAGAAATTTTTAAACAATTTGTCGAGTTTTTCGATTACAAGATTTTCAGCGTGTTTTTTCTCCATTCAAATATTCAAAACTAAAAGATATATAAACACTGAATATATCATTAAAATTAAAGATTTTATTTGTAGAATAGAATTAAAACTAAAACTAAGTAAATATTCTTCGAAATAGACAATATATATGAATATTTTTAGATCATAAATCGAATTCACTAAGATCTATTAAATATTTACCGAAATAATTTTCATATTAGTCTTATCTAATCTATATTGATCATCAAACAATAGAAACTAATAGCACTGATTTATGTATAGATATTATTATGAATATTTTCCTAATTAAATCTAATTTAAATTCAAGGTTTTAAAGATGATTATATATCATATTAGAAAGAAAAATTTATAGAAGATTTTCCTCTAAGCTTTGTGTTCAGAAGAAAAGATTGAAAAGAATTTTTGTGATTTTGATTCCATTTTAAAAATTTATATCATTTAATACTCGATAGAATTTATTTCTTATCAAGAAGAAAACAATTGATTCTATCGTAAAAGAACCAATTAGAATTTGTAGAATCATCAAAATCTACATAATACGATCATCAGCTGTGAAAAACGAAAATTTTCAAGAAAAATATTTGAGAGATTATATATAGAATTAGAAAAAATAAGTAGTTGAAAGAACGATGAATATAACTTTAAAAAAAAGATTTTTATTGAAAATAAATCCTGTTAATCATTGATAATTAGTTAATCTATTGAATTGATTAGATCTGAGTATAGTTCATGAGTTTTATTTATTTTTAAATTATTAATTGTTTATATTTAGTTTAATAGATAGAAAAAAAATGTCATCAGTCTCAATAGACATTCCAACATTAAAAATCAATTCATATGGACTTAAAAATCTTGTCAATTATATATCTCGGCATGAACAAACTCTCAAAGAATTTGGAGCTATTAAAATTAAATTAAACTCTGATTGTTTATTAGGCTTAAAAAAACAGAAAATTTCTTCAAAGTCTACAAATATTCAAAGAATTGTGAAAATAAGTAATGATGAAGCAATTTATTCGATCAAGAAAGTTGAAGGTATAAATGGTTACATGAAAGAACATATACCAATATCAAATGAAGAAACATTCTGGTCTTCTTTTATTCATTCAAATCATAAACATGAACAATCAACTGCTTCAGTATTACTAAATAAATCATTGTTTTTAAAAAACTCTCCTGAAAATTCCTTTTCAATACATCATATACCAAAACAATCATTACTTAAATTAGTTGATACTCAAATAATTCAACAATTTGTTCCTTGTTTAACACGATCACATGAACCAGGAACTATATTTCCATTATTAGATACTCAACAACGTTTATTTTCATTAATATACCATCATGATGGTGGTTCTCGCTATTGGTACTTTATTCCTTCATTTGAAAGAGAAACATTACTAAAACTACTTTATCAAAAAAGTTCTTCAACATGTTTTCAACATGATCAATTATTTATTAATCCATCCATATTAGATAAATATCATATCCGATATCATCGAATTATTCAGCATTCAAATGAATTTATTGTTTTATCAGCTGGAACAATATCAC